TCAAAGACTGATCTATTTCTATATAGTGATCATCAATTAACTAAGGGGGTTTACGTAATGGCTGGTAAGTTTTATGGTAAGTGTTTTCCAGAATGACTTACACAGAGAGCATTTGTTGATTCTCTAATACTTTGCTCCAGCATTTGGGGAATAAAATTATCAGGTGTGGATTCTGGCCTGCTAGGAACTTAAACTAGATTTGATGAATGGGAGGTGGAATGATGATTATGTACACGTTAAGACAGCTCTTTTAAAAGTCCTAAGACTTATACCTTTTTATTTCTTTTAGAACTTTGGCCAATAGCCTAACCTCCCTGGGTTACTCTGTAGGGGTAAAAATAATAGAAATAATTTTCATTTCTTTCATCTCCTGCCTCAATCAGATAATCTCTTGATATTGCTTCTTCCACTTGTAAATTTTAATTTTTAAATGTTAGGATCCTTATATGGGAGAGAAGGAACCTCAGTGGAATACTTGGCATCGGCCCCAAGTGAATATCTTTATCTGCTTCATCCTTTACCAGTTCTTCTCTTACTGGGTCAGGGGGAAAGATCAGAGTCATGCCCGTCTCTCGTACTCCTGGCCCCTTCTCAGGGGGTGGTACAGAGAAGTGGTGGTCCCATAAACTGAGGCATAAAACCTCAGAGTTGTTGGACACTCCACTTCCTCATCCCCAGAGCTAGTTAGTGATATCACTGGACAGTGCTACACCATGCCTTTCTCCTCTGCTTTATCTGACCACGCTATTAAGGATTTTGCTACCTCTTGCCCACAGCAGTAGGTTCTAAACCTGTCTTCCCAAATTTTGGCCTGTCCCATGTAACATAATTCTGTTTAATCCACTCCTCAACTCATGCTTCTCAACAACACCCCCTGTGTATCAAGTGCCTTACAACATCTTGTGGCGTTCACAGTTCTACAAGGCACTGCCCCAAATCGAATTTGGAGCCTTTGTCCCAAGTCCCTTTAATTAAGTCTCTCTTCAAGGCAAAACTGAACTGAACGTTCATTGCTTGAACATGCCATGAGCCTGCCTGTATCTGCTTCTTCCAGTTGGGTTTCTCATTTCTTTTCAGTTGTTCACTGGTATTTACTGTTTATTTGCAAACTGTCATTGTTTTGACTCAGTTTGTCTTAATGGTGATTAAAGGATATTTAAGCAATGTAACAGTTTACTGTCTGAAGCAATATAACAATTTACTCTTAATCTTTTTTCCTAAGGTGATACTGTTATTTCAAATTTTTGACACTAAGGCTGAAAAAGGAAAGATATTTTCCTTCTTCATTTACTAATAGTGATAAAATTTATTGTTAAACTTAATGATTTTTGTTATGGAATATTTAGTCCAGCAATGTACCTACACACAGTGTGTGAGTGGAAGGTATGATTGCGCACCACTGCTTACTAAACTTTGATTTTTGGACAGTGATAAATCAGGAAGGAGCAAATGACCTTAATTCAAATATTACCCCTCTCATAACATAATCATTTTATTTGTCAAATCTTGTCCCCCTTTAAAGTCTCTCTGTTTTCTTTTTCAAGATCCCATGTCCTCTTTGTCAAGAAACTTTCTCACATCAGCAGAAGGACTCGCTCTTCAGGAGTCCTGTGGCACATGTGACACCCACATGTATTTATTTTACACATGATGCACCCCAGGTCTTGATGCCTAAGAAACATTCCCTTGACTACCAGGCTCTTACAATCGACGGAGGAAGGAAACTGTTAGGCAAAACACCATAATACAGATTCCTGCAATCCACTCCCTTCACTCTCTAGAAAATGTGAGGTGCCATAGTAAAGAAGATCGAGGACTTAATGATCCAAAGGGCAGGGAGTATCCTTCCCAGACAGGAAAGCCTTTATTTCTGGGCCTTGGAGGATGAAGTATGGAAAGAGGGTAAGCCATGGTACATTTGGGAATGGTGCATCACCCAATATACCTGGAGCCTGAGGTGCACAGAGGAAATGGTAGGGCATGAGATCAGAAGTCTAATTTGGGGCCAAGCAAGGGATAAGCTTAAAAGTTAGGCCAAGGAGTTTAGAGGTATTTTGAACATCAGAGTAAAATTTTGAGGTCTGTGTTATCAAGAAAATAACTTTGGCAATACAGTGATGAAGGATGGATTGGTGGGAAATATTGAAATTATAGATAAAAATTAGGTCAACTTTCTCAATGGTCCCTGCGGTTATCTTGTATTTCCCTTAAACAGTTGATACATCATTTTTGTAAGTAGAGTTATTTATGCATGTATTTTCCTATGAATAACGCTTCCTGAAGTTGGGCCCTGTGTGGGATTTTAAAGGGTTTCATAGCAACTACTTTCTGAAACACCGAGTAATTCTAGAAAGCTGCATTTATAGCACAAATAACTCATTAGTTGTACTTTTCTTTCTCTAATTATTTTCAGATGTTAAAGGACATCAGACATTAACAATCATTAAAACTCATTAACAAGGTATATATTTGAAATCATAAGTCATAGTTCATAGGCACCATTTTGAGTTCATATCATGTTCTATAAGCTATGCCAAGCATACATACTACTTCACTTAATATTTTCAGTAAGTAGTTTAAGAGTCTAATGCTCTACCTGCTGAGCTAGTCAGGCAGCTACTCAGTAAGTAGTTTAGATACGTTTTACGGATATGCTAAGGCTCAGAATAAATAACGAGTACATTTTGCTTTGTGATTCATGATAGTCATCTTGAGGTTCTTGTATAAGCTGGATATGTTCCTTTATCAGACAAAGAAACTTGCTTTTTATTTACCTATCCGTGGAACAGTCTTCTCTGTTAGAAGACTCTTAGAAGAAGACACTTACTAAAGTGACCTCTTCAGATCTTGATTGATATGTTGTCTCTTCAAAGACTTTCTTGATTATCCTATCCAATGTGCATTTCTGTATTTTACTTTCTTCATAGTATATCTGAAGATATATGTGCATATATATACTATATACCATTATCTGAAATTATATGTTGATTATTTGCTCTCCCCGATCTAGGATATGAATTTCACAAGATCAGTACTTTGAACATCTTCTATACTTCTAACTTATATCCACAGCCTTTTAGAACAGTGTCTGAAATTTAGTGTATACTCAAGAAATAATTATTTAAGGGCTAGATGTGTGAATGAATGAGTAAATGCCTCCAGAGCCCATACTTGTTCTTTGGTGTCATCTCCAGGTTTTTCCAGGTTACCTGGCACACTGGAAGGGGATTGGCTAATAATCCAACCTGTCAAACCATGCATCTTGGACCCAGACTGATTAATAACTTCTAAAACAGAATATTAACTCACTAGGAAAATAAACTCATAGATGGTTCTCTTTTTCATGAGTTAAAATATTTTGATTATATATAACTTATAGTTGTATACAGTTATCTAGGGCATGTGGTTAGTTTAGAAGTAAAAATTTCTGATGAGTTATTTTTAGAATTTTTTCTTATGCATTCATGTTGGCTGAGTTTTGTAGGAAAACATTGGGGTTTACATAAAACAGACATTGTTTCTAGCTATTTGGGTTTTTAAAGCACCAAACATTTAAAAAATACATGTCCTATCTGATATCTACTTGATAAATTAGTGAACTTACATTATTTCTACACAAAATAACAGCCCTACAAGGGTAAATTCTTTCTTTCTTCAAATTACATTTTTCTATTGTGGTTTCAGATTGGCCTTTTGTGAAATATAGTTTCCCTTCATCTTAGTGGAATCTGAGGTGGCTGACTCTGTCACTCGTGTATTTTCCTCTTTTGTTACCACCCCACATATCTAGGAATAGCTTACTGACTAACTCTTAAGTTCAAGAAGGTGGCCTGTGAAGGAATTTTAAGTACATTTCTCGGAGTTCTGTGAAGTTACACGATCTTAGCTCACTTAATTAGCTTTGTGAAAATTGTATGAAGGGATTCATAAAGATTCCAAACTACAGAAGCAAAACAATTCAAAAGCAACCTGCCCTTCACCTTGATCCCTACCTCCTCCAAAAGCCATTGTGTAATGCAAATGAACAGAATAATGGTTGACGAGCAAACTTTTAAGGCGTTCTAAGTATCACTGGTTGATTTAATAAAATTAATTAGCCTGCCACGGAGAAAATTTACTAGCATGCTGGTTAATTTCACAACGTAAAGTCAAGGAAGGGGAGGTAGTGTTGAGGGAACAACCTTATTAGTTTTGAATAATTATTTAAAGATGTGGACCTACCTATTTCAAACACTGTGATAGCCAAATCCATTAAGGCCTTAAAATCTTAATGTTTGTGTCCCAGTCTATATGGGAAGGAACTTCCCTAGATGAAAATCATAAGCATATTAGTTACCAGCTAAATGACTTATTTAAGATACAGAACAGCAAGTAGAATTGTAGCGTCCTCATAAAACCATGGGAATAAAAACCTGCCTTAAAACTGGCTCATGGGAGGTTTCCATAATCTCAATTTGCCATTGATGCAGTTATTGCTTTTTCTTGTCTTTTTAATCCAAACAAGATGTTTGTAGTGGCTGCGGAAAGGTGCCTGAAATCACATGCCTGAATTCACTTAATTTGCCAACATTGTCTTTTTTCCCTCTGTCTTTCTAGTAATGGGCAAGAGTCAGTTCTGGTGCATTAGGTACTAAATCTCTTCAATTACCAGCCAAGAAGAAAGATTTAAAATTGTGCTTCAAACCAACAAACTGATTTAGTTTTAAAGCACAAACACTTCTCCTGTGGAGCCTAAATTAAGCTGCAAAAGTACCCAGAAGCTGAAGAATTAAACCAGGCAGGGCTGAGGCTCAGGCCAGTGATAGGAACCATTTTGGTTTCTTTCATTTGAGCCCCCTGTCGTGAATGGAAGGGGGCAGAAACAGGCTGAGAGGTACAACTTCTGTAAGAAAGGGCAATACTGTATTAATTGTTTGGTAGCTGAATATGGAGTAAAGTTGGTTCAGAGGATCTCATCAAATCCTTATCCTCTTTCTCATTTCTTTTTGGGCGCCGGGCAGCCATTTTCAACGTGGATGACTCTGTGGTTGATCTGGAGACCCTGGCAGCCTTATATGAAAACGTGAGTGTCAGAGCTCATTTCTGTATTTTTCTCCTACTTGAAAATCATGTTCTTTGGTAGTAAGGATTTTGACATAGCGTGGAATAGATTTAGGCATAAAAACACAAGCTTGAATGGCAGTAGACAAGAGAGAACAACTAGGTTCCTCATTCCCCCTGGGGTAACTACAAATAATACATGTTTTTGCACATCTGGGAGGCAGAGTGCTTCAAGTGGAGACCACATACCTGGAGCCCAGCCCTGACACCTGCTGGCAGAGGGAATGACCCAAGCCACCTACTTCAATGATGACATATGCCAGTGTCTTCCTCTGAACAATGAGAATGCTAATGTCAGCTTGGATGATGACTC